ACGGCCCGGGGCCGCCGGCAGCCCCGGCCCCGGCCCCAGCCCGCGCCGCCGCACGGCCCGGCTTCTGCCCACGGTGACAAGGTCCCCTGCCACGCTGGCCGCCCCAGAGAGGCCTCGGGAGCCTCCCGCACCCGAACATCTTGTTCCCCAAATGGAAGAGAAGAGAGCAGCCCGGACCCGTGGTTAGGGTGGAATTTTATGCTTTATGCATCTGTTACAAAGGACAAAACCGTAAAAGCCTCGTACAATAGATGTGGGTGCAAAACAGGTCCTTTACAGGACTGCTCCTGGGTCATGTCCTTTGAGTATAATTAGGAGGACACTGGGAAAGTGACACTCCTCAGCAGCTTGTCACCTGCCTCACCTGCTGTGCTTACAGAAACCACCGTCAAGAAAAAACAGGGTTTTCACAAATAAGACTACTTGCTCCAGGACATCTCGGACTAAGCTTAAATAAGCTGCTCAACCTGATGGACAAGTCTCCCACCTTTGCTGCCAATTTAACTTAAAAGCATCCAGTCACTACTTCAAATTAAAGCATTTTGGTTTTTTGCCTGTAGGCAAAGAAACAATGTGTTACTGCTTTCATTTTCTTGTTCTCACCCACTAAAGAAGCAGTAACCAACCCAATTTCCAGAGATTACCAATTTGCTACTCCCATAACAACTGGGTCCAACACAACAACAAGAACTGTCACTGTCAAAACCCGTAGTTGCAGCACTTTAAATTTCTGACACTGTCAAGAAATGAGGTCTCATTTTTAACAGAACACCACTGTTAAAAGGGTTCCGTAAAATTTGTGCAGTAAACATATTTCACTTTAACCTGAGACATCAAGCCATATTAAATTCACTGGATGCAAGTTTCTTCCATGGAAATCAGTGCTTGATTCCCACCTGACATGAAGTTATCTAGCCCATCTAAGCTATATTTTCCCTTAAATCTGCTGCCTAAGAGACAGACTATTTTTCTCCTACAAATATGCTAAAAATAGACTACTTCTCAAATGTATTTTCAAACCACTATAAATTAAGATTTTCTTACCAACTAGATATCACTTTCAGAGGAATTCCACACCCACCAGGAAACCATATCTGCTAATTTCAGCTGCCACACAGCAAACTGACCATATACTAACACCTGCTCTCCCTCAGCTGCAAACACGATGTTGTAAGAAAAGAGCTGTCACTGTGTTTCCAAAACCAGCTGCCCTATCAGCTCCTTGGCATCCTGCATGCTGGAGGAGATCTCAGAGCCATCTTCTGCCACATGGGTACCAATCAAGAACATCTTCCTCTCGTCCCCAATATCAGACAGAGCCAGAGCATCGTGAATATCAGTGATGCAATATGCACCTTCGAGGTCCTGTTACACAAAAATAAAACAACCCTGTTAGTTGCAAGAAGTGGTGGCACCATTCCTACTTTGAGCCACTGCTTTTGTCCAGGGATAGGGAAGGTCTCAAAGGCTCTGGGGCACCATTCTTATGTACCTTTTATGAGGTCACTTCCCATGTCCTAAAATGCCTTGGGGAAAAGAGTTAATTTCTAACCTAATTTCTTCCTGAAGAAATATGGTGCAGTTGTTTCTATTTCTACACTAATTCCACTGTTTCTGATATCTAAGACCACCTGCACAAGGCAGACAAAAACACTGATGGCCCAAGACCCCAGGTGCCCAGCAAAGAGTTACAAGAATAGGGCAAATATACAACAGTCATGCCCTGCCTGCCTTCTCATCCACCAGTGTTTCTGACGCAGATGAGTCTGATGAAGCCCAAGCCTGCACTTGTGTTCAAGTGTAACATAAAAGACTACTAGTAATGGGCCTCAGTTACTAGAAATTTAGGAGATAACAATGTAGAGCAAACTGAGCATGCAACCTTGATAAAGGAGAATCTGTGATTAAAACCTTTGGGGTCTTCTGTCATCTGATTGTACCAGAGGTCCCATTCTTTTCCAGGTACAGCACCGATCATTGAGACTTCCACAAAGATCTTAGGAGGAAGCACTGCCTTGTGAGGAAAGCTGCTCTTTCTCTCAGATTTCAGAAGCAGCCTTAGGAGTAAGCAACCAGACAGTCTGAAGGCAAACAACAGTGTTTCACTCTTTAGCTGCTCCTAGGTGAAGTGGTACTTCTAGGCAGATACTCAGAACAGAAACCTAACTTCAGATCTAACTGTGGTCTTCCCTGAAGTTCCCAAACCTTGCAACTGTACAGCAGCTTCCACCCACAGCTCTGATTGCATCTTCACCAAGCACAGGACCCGCATCTTGCAGATCCAAAACAACCTCAGATTATTTTGTTTTGCGGTCAACAGGTGTGTCAGAAAGACTCCCAGCCGTGTGCCCTCCTTAAAGGCATGAAGCCTCTTTTGAAAGGCTTTGTTGCTGTTTCCAAAGTTGCTGCCAGCCCAAGCTGTGGAAGCAGCAGGGAACTCTTACCTGCTTGTTGGCCAGAACTACCACAGGCAGGGTGGAGTCGTTCTGGATTAGTTGATGAAGCAGCTGTTTCGCCACAGGCAGTCGGGCATGATCAGCCGAGTCCACGACATAGACCAGCAACAGCACTTTGGGCAAGTACATCTTCCAGTATGAGCGCAGAGACTCACTGCCCCCGACTGGAAGAGAAGACAGCAGCACAGCATTCACCAAGTCATTCAAGCAGCACTGCTTCCAGAGGTGCAGACAGCAGGCCCTGGGCTGAAAACCCAAGGTATTTGGATTACCAAAACCTCAAAGTATTTGAGCTACTGTACATGAGATTGAAAACAGCTTTATTTTCTCCAGTCAGGTCCCATGAAGGCATATGTGTATGCTCTGGGGGGAAAAAAAAATTTTTCCATTTTAAGCTCTTATTTTGAGAGAATTCTGGATTCAGTTTCTTTACAGTTGCTTTCTGCCTTGTTGGTTCTTGCTCTCAAGCAAGTAAGGAGAGTAGAAAACGGTTCAGTGTCCATAAACACCAAATGTCCCCATATAGGCTCTCCAAATGCTCATCTCATTTTAGGACAAAGCAGGTGTACAATTTCCAAAGGAGAAGTTTAGCTGAG